AAATGAAATGGTGAAATGCTCACAATAAAGCATTTTATTTAACCCGTGACTAATTCCTGTCTAGATGAGGAAGTTAATAAAGTAAACTGAAGCCGAGCGACCCGGTGGTGGAGAACCCGGGAAACTGCGGTGGTTCATCGGTTAGAAAGGATCCAGAGAGCCGAGAGAGACACGGAGAGACACGGAGAGACACGGAGAGACAACACTTACTGTTATTAACACGGTAAGTTGTTTTCCTCCTGCGACTCAAAAATGGACGCTGTTCTGAAGGAAACCAAAGTTGCTTTCAGTTTCTTTTCCACATGACGTTACGTGACTCACAGACTAAAAACAAAACTAGATTAAATATTGAAAACCTTCAGTATTTAGATTTTGCTTTTAGTGAAGCAGATCCGAAGCTGAGCATCTTTTTTCATGGATTCAGCAGAAAACTCATTATTTGGCCTCATCGTGAGAGTTGAGGCCAAATAAAGATATTTTATTATTCTTAGCACTAATAAATGAAAAGGCCTTGTAGTAACTGTGGCTGCATCAGCGCTTCCTCTTCCTCGTCCCACCAGCTTCAACACAAAGTTAAACGCTTGCATTCAAATAATGATATGTGCCAGATTTTAGATAATTTTTTCCTGCATAATGTGCATTGCATGTATTCTACGTTGGGCAAACGTATCTTGAACGATAATATTAAATAAAAGTAGAAGAAGCAATAAAAACTTTAATGTCAAACCTGAACTTCTGTTTCCAGCTTCTCTTCTGACCGTACAGGTGAGTGCTTCTCTGATTGGCCTGTAGGTGGCGGTAATGCACCTGAAGTTGGTTTGCAGCCGCCACTGACACCCTGTAGAAGAAGAAGAAGAACGTCAACACCGGTTCTGTATTTCATTTAAAACCGACCTGCTTTGCTCGGTAAGTTGTTGGTTTTTCTATTTATTTGTGTCATATTGTGACCGAGCATCTGGACCCATGCAGGTTGTTAGCTGCGCTTTAATAAAAGTGTCATTTTGTGTTGCTTCGTAAACATTCCGCCACTCGGACTCTCATCTTTGATTCGAAGTTCTGGTTGGGAAATGTCGAGCTCTTTGTTATTAATGTTGCAGTTTCCTCTGGTTGGCGTCATAAGGGCAGGAAAAGTCGGAGAAAGTCACTTTATTCACTATTCAGTTGAACCAGGAGGAAAACCACCGCTTACTTTATTGCAAACAGTCAGAACTGCGCATGTCTCACATCTTAAATGGTCCCACGATGATGACGTCAGTGAAGAGGCTGGGCCTCACTCTGCAGCCTGCACCTCTCGATGACGTGTTTACTCAAATTGTGATAGTAGCCCACATCCAAAAATAATAAACTACAAATAAATAATAGAACCAAATAACTTTCTATTCCACAGCAGATTTGACATTAATTTCATAATTATCTATTAAGTTTTCTCTAATGAGTTTCTGTAAAAGAAAATCTAAAATAAATATTAATTCCTGTTTTGTGTTCTTGAGACATTTTTTCAATTGCAACTTCATGAATGTTTTTAGAAAGATTTTCAAAACTGAATTTTGTACAATAAATCTGTTCCACAAGTTTTAATCTTATAAAATTTGATGAAAAGTTAAATTATGATATTGACAATTTCATCCTCTGGCAAACTTTTTATTTATTCTAAAAATCACCTCCATTTTTAAAGTGAAATGATTTTATTTAATAAAGTGCTTAAACGTTGCAACATCACAAAATCCTAATATTTATACCAATATATTAACTTCATTTAAGATTTAAATTCATCTCTCATTTTTTACATTTTCTGTTTTCTTTCTTTCCTCACAGTTAGTATGTGACGATTGTTTTTTATTTCTTTTTTCTGCTCAGTTTATGAGAACTACGTAGTAAGAAAAGAACTTTGAACATGAACGGTTCTGAACTGAACTGGTTCTATTTCAGATGAATTAATTAGTTCTTGTTTTTCCTCAGTCCAGAATCTCAGGATGAGAACTGAAGACGATCTGCCACCGTTTCCCGGTCCCTCCTGGTCTTGATCCTGATACTGGTTCTGGTCTTGGTTCTGTTTCTTCGTCGCTCCTGGTGGTTCTGTTCGGCCCGTTTGCGCTCCGCGTCCTCGTCATGGTGGGCTTTGTTTAGTCCAGCTCTGTGCAGCTTTCCAATCCAGAGACATTTTTTGCTTTTCCAGGTAAATAAAACGGGTCCAGAGCCACAAAATGACATTTTAAAATATTTACTTCATTTTATCTGTTTTAACTGTTAGAGGAAATATTTTATTTTTACTTTAAGGTTTTTATTAAAAAGAGAAACACAAAACGTTCTCAAAAAAGATTTTTGAGGAATTTGTGCTAAATTTTTTTATATAGGATGTTTATATTTGCACATGATTTTTATTTTAATATCAGGAAAAATAAATCGAAATAAAATGATGAATAATCAATTATTAAAATAATAGTCAGCTAATTTGGTAATCAGTGAATCAATAACTTCAGTATTTATTCAAGTGTTAATTTTCTTTAAAAAACAACCATTCAAAAAAAAAATCTATAATTTTACATTTAAGATCAAATAAAATCTTGTTTGTAATTATTTTCTACCCAGAACTTATTAAACTGCAGTTTTTGACTCAATTATGTAAAAAAATAAAAATCTACAATTATTAATTGATTAATTGATAAAATGAATTATTAAATTTTATTGTCTCATTTAAAAATAAACTGAATTATTTGTTGCAAAATGTGTAAAGTGAAAAATATTCAAAATGTGATTTTGTTATTTATCACATTTTGTTACTTAAACACTTTTAAAGTCATTTTGTTGTGAAAATGAAAAAGTAATTTTCACTAAAAAGTGTAAAATGGTTAAATTTGTATGTTTTCTTTGTCAAACTTGAGTTTGTGATCTTTAGTCCTAATGAGCTGCAGGCTGCAGAGCTCTGCTTTAATTAGTCTAACTTACCTTCATCACTGCTGAAGACTCTGAAAACTCTCCTGTTTGTATCAATGTGACTCTGCTCGGCTTGTCGGGCTTTAATTGTTCCCTCTGAGGTGGAGGCCCAGAGAAAGTATTTCTGTGTAAAGATGAAGAAATAAAGCTGGAGTCTGTGAGAAGCCGAGTCCTGCTGGTGGATTTACTGCTGAACAGACGAAGGTCTGCAGGAGCCCAACGAGTCGCTGCAGAGAATCTGGAAAGTCTTTGGTCTGAAGATGAAGAGAATCTGAAGACCTGAAGCTCCAAGCTGTCATCAACTCTCTGATCAACACGTTTCCTCGCCTCTTTTCTTCCCTCGCCAGGTTTTTCCACAAAATTTGACAAAGTGTGAAAATGTGGTGATTTTTTCGTGACAAATTTACGCGGAAATTATTTATTTTGTAATGAGCAGTAGCTCAGAGGAATAAGACGTGGACTGGGAGTCCACAGGTTGCAGGTTCGAGTCCTGAACTCTACCGATTTTACTTGAATTTTTCCTTTATTTGAGTCAAAACGCAACAAGATCCTTGCTGGACTCGAACCAACAACCTTTAGATAAGCAGCCTGTATTCCTCTCTCCTCGCTCATCTACACTAAAATGCTTTTTTTTTAAAACTTGTCTTCTGTTTTGGAGGATTTTGGTGAAAAAGGGGCGTCGACCGTGACGACTGGAGGCGTGGCTTCAGAATCGTCTCTGATCCAGGAGAAAAACTCAAAGTTCAGGATCCAGAAGGTCCAAACTGAGCTGATGCATCTGGGCAGGAAAGCAGAACCAACATTTACTGCTCAACATGTTCAGAACAACAACGGAGGAGATCTGGAACAATTTCACTTCATCTGCAGCTCCACTTTTACTTCTTCACTTGGAGGCTTTTTATTTCTCCTCACATGTTGGGAACTTTTAAGATCATTGAAACCAGAAGGAAAATATTGATTTTCCATCCAATGATCAGTTGCAACTTTGTAAAAACACAAAATATTCCCAGTGTTTCAGTTCTGTTGCAAAGGGAGAAAAGAAAAACTTTTCTCTGCAAATTCATGAAATACAAAAATCTAACTTTAACTTTTGAAATTTAGCCTCACCTGGTTGGAAATAGAAGAGAAAAAATAAAATGAGGTTTAGTTAAAACACAACCGACTCTAATGACATATAAAATTTGTATATATAAAAAAGAAACGTTTGAAAATATAAAACATAAAATAAAAAGTCTGGAAAGTCAGAAACATTTAGAAGCAGTTGTTTTAATTCCTGAATGTCAGATGAAATTATTAGGAATTAAATGACAGGAATTCAGTTTGTTTTTATATATTTAGTTTTTATTTGGATAAATATCTGCTGGTGGCTCAGCGGCATAAATACACAAGAAGAACCAGAACAAAACGTTACATTCAGAAACAAAACGTCACATGATCCAAAGAGCTGCAGCTCGGACCGCGCCGCGCCGCAGCTTTGTGCTTCCTCAGTGACCTTTGACCCCACTACCCGCCGGTTCTGACCCGACTTCTGGAATGATCCTCCTTTTTCTAAAGTTTGGATTTGGGAGAAAAAAACAAATAAAACATGATTGTTTCAAACTTTCAGCACAAAAACAGAACCGGACTCTTCAAGTATGAGTCAGAAACAATCTGCATCGGAAAGCGTGTCAGCGTCCTGAGTGGAACACACACACACACACACACACACACACACACATATATACACACACACACACACACATATATACACACACACATACCACACACACACACACACACCCCACACACACACACACACACACACACCCCACACACACATATATACACACACACCCACACACACACACACACCCCACACACACATATATACACACACACACACACACACACCCCACACACACACACACATATATACACACACACACACCCCACACACACATATATACACACACACCCACACACACACACACACACCCCACACACACATATATACACACACACACACCCACACACACACACACACACACCCACACACACACATACACACACAGACACCTCAAACTTGCCATCAGCAGGGAGAATATTCAGGATTCAGCCGAATCTTGGACCAGAACTTCACCCAGCAGGTCTTACTGGTTCTGGTGAAGGTCGTTACCGTGGTAACACTTCCTGCCACCTGAACATTCATCCCTTCTGACTGCGGCTCGGTCAGAACCGGTCCATTCAATCTGGCAGAACAGATAAACATGATGAGGAGCTTTTATACTGAAGGAGCCTCCAGGAAGTCACAGCATGCCGTCCAGGTTCTTCTCGGCGCTCTGCGAGTCGCGGCGGTGGCAGCGGCATCCTGAGGGCTGTACTGGGTGTGGTAGTCTCTGAGGATGGTGACCACGTCGTGATGGCCGAAGTGCACCGCCTCGTCCATCGGCGTGTTGCCCCACCTGCACGCAAAACACGACAACACCATGAAAACGCTGCTGGAACGCTTTCAGGACAAAGTTTGATGCTAAAAAATAACAAAATGAAGGAAGAAAAGAAACAAGAGAGAGGAAATGAAGGAAGGAAGTAAGAAGAACAAAGTAAGGAGAGTAAAAAGGAAGTGAAAAAGAAGGAAATGAAGAAGGAAATATGGAGAGAGAAGGAAGGAAGGTCAAAGGAAAGGAGGAAAGATGTCAGCAGACAGGAAATAAACATGGAGACACTGAGGACCAGGTCTGAACTGGTCCTCAGTGTCTCTGTGTCCCTGGAGACGCTCCTACCTGTCCTTGGGGACCGGGTTGACCTTACAGGCCTCCAGCAGGAAGCGGACCACCTCAGCGTGACCTGGAACACACCAGCAGAACCTCAGCCTTCACAACACACACACAGCAGGAAGCAGCCGCCTCCACTTCCTGGGGCTGACCTTCAGCAGCAGCTGACCCTCCTCTGGTCTCCTCCCTCCCTGCGGGGGTCCCGCATCTTGAAGTGCCTCAGCTCCTCATCCTCTCACTTCCAGCTCTGGATGAAGATTCTCAATCAGCTGTTTAGATTCTGTCAGAGAGATCAGACCAGGACCGTGTAATGCGGTTCCACTAAAACCCACTTGGTTCTGTAAATGAACTGATCAAATATTGTCACCATCACTGGACAAAAGCAGCAGCTAATCAATCAGAACATTAACATTCACCAGAATCACTGAGTAAAACAAGCTGCTGCTAGTCAGTTAGCATCGTTAGCTCCGCTCAGAGTCTCTGGGATGTTCTCATCTCTGTGGAGCTGCTTCTAGTTCACACTGACAGATAAAACACTGATTTCATGTTAAAATAGGAAGAAGATTTAAGAAATAACAGCAGAAACACCAAGAGAGCAACAAGGGAGCCGATCAGGAACTGGAATCCAGCTAACTGCTAACTTAGCCTTCTGCCCCCTTCTTCTTCTTTTCTATTATGGCGGATCGCAAGCAACTTTAAGGTGCATACCGCCACCTACTGTACACGAGTGTGAAGCAACAGTATTTCACATCAGTCAGATTCTATTTTTTTATTTTGAAGATAAATAAATAGTGCTTTCCTTAATATGCAAATATCCATTATATTTCCATCATTCCCCAGTATTCCTTTCAAACTCCATTCTTGATCTGTCCTTCCAACTATTCTTCTCAATTTCTCCCTTTCACATTCATGTTTTACAGTTCATTAATACATGTTCTATGTTTACATTCTCTCCACATTCTTCACACATATCATTGTTTTCTTCCTTATTAAATATAAAGTATCATTTCAATATGTATGCCCTACTGTTAATCTAATCATTATTTCTCTCCTTAATATTTCTACTTACTACTGACTTCTGTATTTATATAATTCCTTCCTTTCTTATCTTCATTCCACCTTTTTTGCCAAATTTCCATTTCTTTACTCTTAATAATGGATTTTCCTTCCCTTTCCCAATAGGTATTTTCATGGTTATTGCCTCATCAAAAGCCCTTTTTGCTAATTTATCTGACTTATATATATATATATATATATATATATATATATATAATAAATAAATATAATATATATATATATATATATATATATATATATATATATATATATATATATATATATAACGACATACTATATATAGTGTTGTTTTTTTCAATTTTCGACCACATACTATATATAGATGTCGTTTTTTTTCAATATTTCGGACGACATACTATAGTATGTCGTTTTTTTCAATTTTTCGACCACAGTATGTCGTTTTTTCAATTTTTCGACGAAAAATTATTGTGTCATTTTTTTCAATTTTCGACCACAGTATGTCGTTTTTTCTCAATATTTTGCACGACATAGTCATCCGAAATACATTATAGTATGTCATTTTTTCTCAATATTTCGACGACATACTATAGTATGTCGTTTTTTTCAAATTTCGGACATAGTATACTATACGACATACTATAGTATGTCGTTTTTTTCAATTTTCGGACGACTTACTATAGTATGTCGTTTTTTCTCAATATTTCGGACGACAAACTATAGTATGTCATTTTTTTCAATTTTTCGACGACAAACTATAGTATGTCATTTTTTTCAATTTTTCGACCACAGACTATAGTATGTCGTTTTTTCTCAATATTTTGCACGACATAGTCGTCCGAAATACATACTATAGTATGTCGTTTTTTCTCAATATTCGACGACCTACTATAGTATGTCGTTTTTTTCAATATTTCGGAGTATTATATATACGACAAAGTATATAGTATGTCGTTTTTTTTAATTTTCGGACGACATGTCGTTTTTTCTCAATATTTTGCACGACATAGTCGTCCGAAATACATACTATAGTATGTCGTTTTTTTCAATATTTCGGACATAGTATATATATACGACATAGTATATAGTATGTCGTTTTTTTTAATTTTTCGGACGACATGTCGTTTTTCTCAATATTTTGGACGACATAGTATAGTATGTCATTTTTTTCAATATTTCGACCACAGACTATAGTATGTCGTTTTTCTCAATATTTCGACGACATACTATAGTATGTTGTTTTTTTCAATATTTCGGACATAGTATACTATATACGACATAGTATATAGTATGTCGTTTTTTTCAATTTTTCGACGACATAGTATGTCGTTTTTCCATTTTCGAACGACATAGTATAGTATGTCATTTTTCAATATTTCGGACGACATACTATATAGTATGTCGTTTTTTCTCAATATTTTGGACGACAAACTATAGTATGTCGTTTTTTTCAATTTTCGACGACATATTTCGGACAAAAATTTTTTTCAATTTTTCGACCACAGACTATATATAGTATGTCGTTTTTTCTCAATATTTTGCACGACATAGTCGTCCGAAATACATACTATGGTATGTCGTTTTTTCTCAATATTTCGACGACATACTATAGTATGTTGTTTTTTTCAATTTTTCGACGACATAGTATGTCGTTTTTTTCCATTTTTCGAACGACATAGTATAGTATGTCATTTTTTTCAATTTTTCGGACGACTTACTTCGTCGTTTTTTCTCAATATTTCGACGACATACTATAGTATGTTGTTTTTTTCAATATTTCGGACGACATGTCGTTTTTTCTCAATATTTCGGACGACATAGTATAGTATGTCGTTTTTTTCAATTTTTCGAAGACATAGTATAACATGTCGTTTTTTTCCATTTTTCAAACGACATACTATAGTATGTCGTTTTTTCAATTTTCGACGAAAACTATAGTATGTCATTTTTTTCAATTTTTCGACCACAGACTATAGTATGTCGTTTTTTCTCAATATTTTGCACGACATAGTCGTCCGAAATACATACTATAGTATGTCGTTTTTTCTCAATATTTCGACGACATACTAGTATGTCGTTTTTTTAATATTTCGGACATAGTATACTATATACGACATATATAGTATGTCGTTTTTTTCAATATTTCGGACGACATAGTATAGTATGTCATTTTTTTCAATATTTCGGACGACATACTATAGTATGTCATTTTTTTCAATTTTTCGACCACAGACTATAGTATGTCGTTTTTTCTCAATATTTTGCACGACATAGTCGTCCGAAATACATACTATAGTATGTCGTTTTTTCTCAATATTTCGACGACCTACTATAGTATGTCGTTTTTTTCAATATTTCGGACATAGTATACTATATACGACAAAGTATATAGTATGTCGTTTTTTTCCATTTTTCGAACGACATAGTATAGTATGTCATTTTTTTCAATATTTCGGACGACATACTATAGTATATCGTTTTTTTCAATTTTTCGGACGACTTACTTCGTCGTTTTTTCTCAATATTTCGACGACATACTATATATGTTGTTTTTTTCAATATTTCGGACGACATGTCGTTTTTTCTCAATATTTCGGACGACATAGTATAGTATGTCGTTTTTTTCAATTTTTCGAAGACATAGTATAACATGTCGTTTTTTTCCATTTTTCAAACGACATAGTATAGTATGTCGTTTTTTTCAATTTTCGACGACAAACTATAGTATGTCATTTTTTTCAATTTTTCGACCACAGACTATAGTATGTCGTTTTTTCTCAATATTTTGCACGACATAGTCGTCCGAAATACATACTATAGTATGTCGTTTTTTCTCAATATTTCGACGACATACTAGTATGTCGTTTTTTTTAATATTTCGGACATAGTATACTATATACGACATAGTATATAGTATGTCGTTTTTTTCAATATTTCGGACGACATAGTATAGTATGTCATTTTTTTCAATATTTCGGACGACATACTATAGTATGTCATTTTTTTCAATATTTCGGACGACATACTATATAGTATGTCGTTTTTTCTCAATATTTTGGACGACAAACTATAGTATGTCGTTTTTTTCAATTTTTCGACGACAAATATTTCGGACAAAATTTTTTTCAATTTTTCGACCACAGACTATATATAGTATGTCGTTTTTTCTCAATATTTTGCACGACATAGTCGTCCGAAATACATACTATGGTATGTCGTTTTTTCTCAATATTTCGACGACATACTATAGTATGTTGTTTTTTTCAATTTTTCGACGACATAGTATGTCGTTTTTTTCCATTTTTCGAACGACATAGTATAGTATGTCATTTTTTTCAATTTTTCGGACGACATACTATAGTATATCGTTTTTTTCAATTTTTCGGACGACTTACTTCGTCGTTTTTTCTCAATATTTCGACGACATACTATAGTATGTTGTTTTTTTCAATATTTCGGACGACATGTCGTTTTTTCTCAATATTTCGGACGACATAGTATAGTATGTCGTTTTTTTCAATTTTTCGAAGACATAGTATAACATGTCGTTTTTTTCCATTTTTCGACGACAAACTATAGTATGTCATTTTTTTCAATTTTTCGACCACATACTAGTATGTCGTTTTTTCTCAATATTTTGCACGTCATAGTATATAGTATGTCGGTTTTTTAAATTTTTCGACGACATACTATAGTATGTCGTTTTTTTCAATATTTCGGACGACATAGTATAGTATGTCATTTTTTACAATTTTTCGGACGACGTAGTTTTTTCTCAATATTTCGGACGACATTGTATAGTATGTCGTTTTTTTCAATTTTTCGTCCACAGTATGTCGTTTTTTTCTCAATATTTCGGACGACATACTAAAGTATGTCGTTTTTTTCAATTTTTCGACGACATAGTATAATATGTTTTTTTTTCAATTTTTCAAACGACATAGTATAGTATGTCGTTTTTTTTCAATATTTCGGACGACATACAATAGTATGTCGTTTTTTTCAATTTTTCGACCACAGTATGTCGTTTTTTTAAATTTTCGGACAACTTACTATAGTATGTCGTTTTTTTCTCAATATTTCGGACGACATATGTACATACATATGTATGTCGTCCGAAAAAATTGAAAAAAACGTCATACTATATATAGTATGTCATCAAAAAATTGACAAAAAACAACATACTATAGTATGTCGTTTTTTTCAATTTTTCGACGACAACTATAGTATGTCATTTTTTTCAATTTTTCGACCACATACTAGTATGTCGTTTTTTCTCAATATTTTGCACGTCATAGTATATAGTATGTCGGTTTTTTAAATTTTTCGA